TTTATTTTTATTTTGTTCCCGTTTATCAATATTGTGCCCATTCTATCTATTTTAGGTTGCTTCTAAGTCCCCCCTACGATTTATTAATACTAATATACCATTCGCAAATGTAAGCACGGTAATCTTTTGCTTCTGTACAATTATTGCAAGATGAGACAGATAGTCAAAACTTTTTTAAGGATCATTTGTGTCTTAAGAGCATACATATAACCCTATGAACGTAGAAATGACAATTATTTCAATATTAAAGAGACACATCAATTTTATTTGTATGTACAGATAGATAAACTAAATGACACAATTATTATGAAAACATTTCACTATGGACACGTGTTTCGCCCATTTTTAATGTGACCATTATAAATGAAAAACTGTACCTATTTGAATATATAGATGCAATAATTTCATTTTACGTTTCAAAAATACCACTTTGCCGAATAGTAATAAGTAAAAGTCTTTTATTAGAAAAAAAACGTACAAGTGCAAAGTAGATGATCGGACCAAAGATCATAGCATATAGATCACAGAAAACATTCTTTTTATTAAAAATTTGTTAACGAAGCAGCAGAAATTCGTAAAAATCGATAGGAAAAGGGCAATACGTAGCTTCATAAAATTATATTATCCACTCACCGTTATTGCTTCGATCAGGAGATTACGTTCTATACTAATATTGAAGCTTTTGGACCTAATACAATACTAAATTATGGACTTACACCACTATAAAGCTGTACCATATTTCATTTTGCTAATGAAAGAAATTACTTTTGATTAGATGTGTAATAAACCGTTTAAAATATAAATGCATTTTATTTACTGCTGTTCATCTAGGCAATAGAACATATATTGGGCAAAGTAGGAGATAAATCAATGGAATTAAAGAACACTTACAAATAAAAGAAAGTACATAATTTTAGGTAGGTTTTGTTCTCTCATAAAATACTCGAAAGAATAAAAAGCTAAACCTTTTAGAATATTTACGAATAAATAGGGGAGGTATTAGAAAGAACAGGAAAACGAAGGGTGCTGTAGACGTTAATAAGAAAAATGAGAGACAGGATCGTAGGATATCCTCTGAGACATGAAGAGTTAGTTAAAGACATATAACATGTATTAATAGAAGATAAAAGAGATAGGGAAAATCCTGATTAGATTATTGTTCTCTCTATACATCGAAGACGCGAACAACATCATTAAAGATAGTAAAAGTTCCTTATTTACGGTTTCCTTATTCGCGTTTTCATTATACACGGGTGAAAAAATTGCGACCCGGTTCCTGTATTCGTGGTTAAAAATTTCATTATTCGCGGTTGCAATCGGTAAACAGAAAAGGATTTGGTGCCATTTACTAAGGGGATTGGCCGCAATAGACCGCTCGTGCCTAGTGTGAATTTCTCCGAAAACATGGGTTTCTATTCTAAACATTGTGATTTAACGCTGCGAGATAAATATCTAATTTTTTGTATAGGAACAGACAAAGGTTCCCACTAACTCGGTACGTTTTCGGTTTTCAATAATATTGTCATTAAAAGCTTTTACAAGTGCTTAAAGTTGATGTTTCTTGTAAGACACGTATTTTCAATAGAAAATGGAAAATTAAAAAATGGCCTTAGAAAGCTTTAGAACAAAGCTTTATCTATCTTACTACAAAATTTCAAACCTCTGTTCCAAATATTAATCTCATGATATCTAGAACCGATAAGCATGTTTCTAACCTACGGCGCGTGTACTACTGAATCCTATTGAGTATGTATAGTTGGTACGTGTCGAAGCGGATTTTATAAAAAATCTAACCTAGTAGAAAAGGATTAGGTGTTATTTTTCAACGTATTAGCATCTTTTGAGTCCTATTGGCTCGTGCCGAGGCGACTTTTATAAAAGATGTAACCGAGTGGACTAATTTCACAATTCTAAACAAGAAAAAATCACTAAATTTTTTAAACTCACCTAAAGCTGATTATAACGATTAATTTTAATTGCGAATTTATCAATAAATTGATTTTATTTTGATACATATTGGTTTTATTTTGGAATCTTAGAACGTATCCCCTATGATTCCATACTAATTACCATTCCATATCCGCGGTTTCTGTATTCGCGGCATATTTATGGAACGTATACCCCGCGAATAAAGAGCTTTTACTGTACAACAGTAGGTATAGATATAGAGGGGCAAAAGATTAGTATGCTTAGATTTGCATATGATATAGCAGTATTAGCATCCAGGAAGGAATAGTTAGAGATAGCTTTAAATAAAACGAAAGCGGAAATAACAAAACGGTATTGTATGAAAATAAAAGTAAAAGAAAAATACTGGTTTTCAAGGGAAGAGGAAGCTAGGAAGTTAGATAAGTCAAGACGAAAGGAGTAGCAGTGATATAAAGCAGAGGATAGCGCAGGGTCGAGTCGTCATCAATAAAAAGGAGTCACTTCTATGCTTGCGAACGATTAATTTAGAAATTCGAAAAAGGATTTTAAAGGTGTATGTTTGCAGCGTGGTGCTGTACGCGTGCGAAACATCGACGATGGGCGAGGCAGAACAGAAAAAGTTAGAAGCGTTCGAAATGTGGTGTTTTTGGTGAATGATGAAGATACCGTGGATAGAGAAGGTTGGAAATAAAGGTTGGATATAAAGAATAAAGGAACAGAGAACTCTATGGAAGTTAATAAAAAATAAGCGACATAGGTTGGTAGAACACTTTCTCAGGTATGAAGGTCTAATCAGAGACATATTAGAGGCAGAAGCAAGAGTTAGGAGGGGTAGAGGTAGACCTGGATTAGATTACTGTTCGCAAATAGTTAAGGATGTAGGATGTTCTAGTTTTAGGAAAATGCGAAGATTAGCTCAGGATAGGAAGGAGTGGAGGTGCGTGTCCAACTAGTCTTAGGACTGACGATCTTATGATGATGAAGAATAGTAAGGGATCTGAGATGTTTTAATTTTAGGGAAATATGAATATCGGTTTAAGATAGGAATGAGTGAAGGTGCTGCGTGTCGACACAGTTAAGATTGACGATTCTACTACAATGAATATGAATGCACAAAAAATAATTTCACTTCTTTAAGGACGATAAGATTATTTATATATTTAGGACCAAAAGTTCTAATATTGAGTTTACGTTTAATACGAACTACGTTAGTGTTGAGAATTGAGTAAATAATAATTTTTGACTAGGCTATAGGTTTCGTTTTAGTCATATAATTATCAGATCAGGCACGCTACGGAAACTTGGAAACGTTCGTTGGAAACAACAATCAGTAATTTAAGAAATATTTTATTAAATTTAGTACTTGGTATAATAATAACGCAAAACGTAGAATCTGTGCATATTTAGGTTCCTGGAACTTTTGTTTTAAGTTGCAAAGGTTTTTTAAGGGTAATTCTACATCGTAAGATAACAACTTCACAAGTCTCTCGACCTCTTTAAAAGGGACTTGTGTTCCACTTGCTTTTCGCTGAGAATGCATTTTGTAATAATATTGTCCTTCTTGTCAAGATTTAAAGCAGTAAAAGTAAGCAATTTGTACTATCGTCGGTTTATACGTGCCTAGTAAAAAAAGATTTTTTAATATTGATTCTTTATTAAGAAAGATCAATTTATTTGTTTTTTTTTAGTACTGAATGATTTGTTACCAGATTCGAGATATACATTTAGAAAAAGAATCTCAAAATTTACAATTTGCAGGAAAAACTAAAAAGGGAACTAACCGTTGTGAAAGATATATGAGGTCTGTTCAAAAAGTATCGCGAATTTTGTGTCTTTTCAAAAATTATTTATTTATTCATGAGTATCTGTTTTATCCCCTTCAAAGTAATCTCACCATATTATACAATGGTGTCAACGTTTTTTCTAATCCTCGAAGCACTTCAAATATTATTCTAATTTAGTTGCTCCTTCGATGCCGTCTTTATCTCCTCAATCGTAGCGTGGCGTCGTCTTTTCATGGACCTCTTCAGTTTCGGGAACAAGAAAGTCACAGGGCGCCAGATCAGAGGAAAACAGTGGCTGCGGCATTATTAGTGTTTTTTTGGCGCGCTTTTTTCGGTCTTGGCGCGTGCAGCAGCTTCTATTGGGATGATTGAGCTTTGGTTTCCACGTCATAACCATAAACCCATGATTTGTCACCAGTTGTGACCCTCTGGAGCAAATTCGAGTTGTCGCGGACATAGCCCAACAGCTCATTAGCAATGTTAATGTGATGCTGTTTTTGGGCAAAATTGAGCAATTTTGGTACGAATTTCGCGGCGACCCTTCTCATGCCCAAATCATTGGTAAATATCGAATGGTAAGGTCCACAGCAACTCTCAACGGTGATTCGATGATTGGCCAATACTATTCTCTTCACTTCATTAATGTTTTCGTCTGTTGTTGACGTGCTGGGGCGTCCTGCACGCTCTTTGTCGTTCAAATCATTTTGGCCCTCTGAGAACATTTTGTATCACCGATAAACGTTGCTTCAGTCCAAAGTAGCTTCACCGTATGCCATAGTCAACATACAGAATGCGACCACGCACTTTGTTTTCCACACAAAATTTGATACAGATTCATTGATCCAATTTTTGGAATAGGCAAAAATCGAAGACGAGCCAAAACACGTGCAAGTAAAGCAGGTATCAAAAATTAACTGAACATTCAACATGGCCGAACCTGTTGGTATAAGTGAGAGATATGAGTACCAACATAACTCCACAAAAAAATCGAAAATTGAATATACGTAACTCGCGGAAATTCAAAATTTCGCGATATTTTTTTAACAGACCTCGTATGCATATATCAGATCAAGTAAAAAAACTATTAGAGTTTGGAGTTTTCTATACCGAAAAAATATTTTATAGTTGGTTTCCTGACAATGAAATAAGATTGCTTTGAAACTTTGGAATGATCTAAATTTTATAATGTTTTAGTAATTTCCGTATACATATACAGAAATTTCAAGCAAAATGTTATTTATTGGACTTAGTAAGTAAAATATTTTTAAGCAGATGTTCTATTTACAGGTTAACATAAGCAATACCTGGATGCTCCCAGAAGAAGGATTTCCTGTATTTTATCGCTATTTCCGAGATAGAATATCGTGGTATGAAGCTGACGCCGTCTGCCAGTTCCATCACGCTAACCTGGTTACCGGTAAGTTTTATCAACAAGCAGATTGAAAATATGAACTGCGGTGCAACTGCATCGACTCCATTTTGAAGAGCGAAGTAAATGATTATATTGAATCTTTTAACAACAGTTTTTTTTGTCTTTATCTTGCCTCAAACCTTTTTCCGGTTAACGTATAAAACATAAATTTTCTAAAGTAATTTTGTGTCTTTAAGAAAACAACTAATTGAAAAAAAAAGGAATAGCAACAAGACTTTATAAAGTTCTACACCTTTAAAGAAATCATACGTTTCTCACACATTTCGTCTCCTAATTTCTCAATAATTACCTGTCTTATATCTTCCTTTGCCGTGTCTCCTTTCCATTCATTCATGAACATTCTTATTTCATTTTTTTACATCTCTATTGCAACCCTGCAACATAACAAATAGACAAACGTCTCCTATCTTGCTTCACATAATCCACAATTCCATTCACTATAACCTTTTTAAAAGCCCTTCCTATATTGCAGCATTATCTTGTTCTACCCCAAATCTCTTTAGTATCTGCCCTCTTTATTTCCGGCATTAAGTTTCTCTACAAACTATTACATGTAAACTTTGCTTTCGCTTCCCATTCCTTGTCAACATCTCTATCCCACCATCTATTTAAATCTTCTCTAATTTTGCTAACAATTCCTGCCTCTTCGTTCCTATCCCTTATCATTTTTAACGGCCTGCATACCCAAAATAAATTGTAAATAAATCCCTTAATTATTTTGTTATTAAAAGGAGAAAAATCTTAAGTCAAAAACGACGATTTTAAAATGGTAAATAGACTGGTGACCTTGTAGTTTTGTCCGTAAAACTTGCCAACCGATAAGTTTGAAAAAAGTTTCAACTCCTATAAGATTTCCGCTTATAACTCTTCAAATCGTTACGACAAGCCTGATAAGTAATAAGTACGACAAGTAGAACTAGACGAGTCTGGGAATTCCCTATATTTTTTTAAATAAAGTTTTGGTCTGAATACGAGTTTTTGCTTCTATACAACTGTTGGTGTTTCCAGACGACTCTGGATACAAGTGGTTCGTTTTTATCTATTATAATGACGTCTAAATACGCCTCTGGTTTTAATTTCCGATTTTAATATTATAAGTCAAAATAGAATTCTTGGATTGATAGCCTTCATTGGATAGATAAGGTTAGAAATGAACAGGTATTAGAAAGAGTAAGAGAACAGAGGACTCTTTGGAAGTCAATAATAAATAGGCGAGGTAGGTTAGTAGGACACCTTTCCAGACATGAAGGTCTACTCAGAGACATATTAGAGGCAGAAACAGGAGTTAGGAGGGGTATAGGTAGACCTAGATTAGATTACTGTTCGCAAATAGTTAAGGATGTGGGTTACTCTAACTTTAGGGAAGATTAACTCAGGATAGGAAAGAGTGGAAGTACGTGTTCAACCAGTCTTAGGATATAATATGAGTCATCCTTGGTCACTTTTATAACAAGAGCGAAATAACATTTAGAATTCCGCAATTTGTCAATGTTGGACAATCAAATCCTTAGCCATTTCATGAAACTTCAAGTTGATATAACTTTTTATACTTTGCAATCAATCTTTTCACGAAACGTTCACTGGCATTAAATTTAACGGAATGTTCAATGCGAGATGATAAAAAAAAATCTGGTTGCTAGGCACGACACATTTTCATCTGAAAATCGATTGTTATGTAGAGTTGACTAAAATCATTCGGAATGGAAGTATATTTTGAAGAGGGTCACTAAATATTCATGTAATTTCACTCCATTAGTCCACTGGAAAATTTAAAAGTAAAACCACCCGAATCCGGCATTACGATGGAAAATAAATTTAGAAATAAAGCGTCAAGATTAAATCATAACAGAAGTTCTTTTGGAACCTGGAGTCATGAAAATTTGCATTTAATAAAAGCAGGGAATATTCCGAATTTCTTATTTCATTTTTAATGATTCAAATTTTACAATTCTTTGGCGGAAAACGAGAAATTTCTATTTTTAAAATTTAATTAAGCTACTATGTTTAAATTATCTTTTTTAAACGAACAAGAATGATAGGTAAGTAAAACATTTTTAGATGTCTTAATAGAAACATATAATATGTATGTAGAAATACATATACAAATACATGGGTCGTTATAGACAGATCTTTATTCCATTATATCCACTCATTCCTATCCACTTTCAGGTAAGTAGATAGAGATACTGAACGGGTGGATACAATTTCCTACAGTTCATAGCACTTATCGGTAGCGCATAGCATATACAACATTCCAATCAAAGCAACCTTTCCCACCGTAACCTGACATAGAGTAGCATATATTAGTATAAATTTAGAGAGTATGTAAATATTAATGAATTTTTTTTAGAAAAATTATGACGCCGATTACAAAGGATAGATTAAAAAGACTCATGTAAGATTTACATCACACTACATTTTCTTTTGTATCTATTTAATGTAGTTACCTAGGTATATCGAATAATTAAAAAAGGGACGAAAAGTGTATGTGTAGTAGTGAAACTTATTTAGATTGTTTATTATAGTAGTATTAAAAAAAATGGTTTAAACTAATACATTAACTAATTATTAAACACTAGAAAAATACAACTTTATTTCGAGCGGACGAATGTGAAATATTGGTTTAGTATTGTTAAAAACTTTTACACTTGCACCATACAAAACTGCAGAGAGGAATTAAGAATTATACTTCATTTACTTTCTCTAGCGATGTGCCCCTTCCAATGTCTTGGATGCGCGCTGGTAAAACCGTAGGTAGGGAAAAAAGCTCATTATACTCTCGACTCTCGTTCATTAAACATACTTTTACATACAGTACCTGCCAAAAGTTTTATTCAATCATGAATAGTAGTGCGAGTCGAAAACAAGCGTTAAAGCCTTTAATATGTCTTCAAATATAAATAAACATCTCGTTGATATTTTCAGTAGTAAACGGTACCAATAAGAGCACATTTGAGCAATGCAATTGTAGTGGATAAAATGGTCAATTTTTCTGTGCAGTACTGTACGGATTATACGCTCCTCTCCAGTTAAAAGTTTGGCGCCGGTCAAACCGAAGGTCACATCGTTACAGAAAGTAAACGAAGTATAAAACAAATATTGGTTTCTACTAACAGGTTAGCTTCTGATGCTTGTTAAAATGACTACTTTTGGACTTATCCACCAAAGGTCACACGTGGCGCGTGACGTGACGAGTGACGTTACACATTTCGGGTTTATCCCTTAGTAAATTTCTTTTCTACCGTCGATAAAGAAGTTTCACTTCAAAATTAAAATTTCAATTCAGACGTTCACGCATACTATTTTCAGATTGTAAAAACTTAAAAAACTACAATTTCAAAGAAAGTTTCTTCTTTTTTCTATAAGGTAATAGCGATAAATTGTGTTATTAATATATAAAAAGATACACAGTAACGTTTTAAAAATAAGGATGTAAGCCGGCTAGAAATACTAACGAGAATAAAGCTTTTGGAATAGAGCCAAAACAAGTCGCTATTTGAACTTCCAGACCGAGCAAAGATAAAGTCTGTAAAGCAGAATTTGTCATCAAATCTAGGCTAAGTGAAGGACTGCAAGCGTTTCGTTTTCTGAGGAGGCAAGTTAGGCAATACTGTGAGTCAAGTAGCTTGTCACCGCTTTTAAATGTTCATTGCCTTGCAACTTAATTACCTAATGCCTTCTCTTCACGTTGATTCAACTAAATCTTGGTCCAACTAATTGTAAGACAAATTGGGTGGTATGAATAACACCCGAGCTTAAACACCGAGTACATACTCACTTGAACATGAAATGCTAGCTTGTGCTACAATTTATATGAATAAAAAATATTTGCTGTACCTACTGCCATCGTTATCATAAGGTCGTTTTTAAAATTCTGAATTAACCGTTCGCGAACATAGAAGTTACTTCTTCTTGTTGTAGACGACTCGATCCTGTGGTTTATATCTCTACTGATCCTTCCATCCTGAATTATCTGACTTCCTAGATACTGAATATCAATCACTTCTTCTAATTTTTCGTCCACTCCATATTTACTCTTTCCCTACCTACTTTTCCTCTCCATGCATACCAATATTTTTGTTTTACTTTCATTTATTTACATACGATAAGTTGCTCCAAATCGGTGAATCCTGGACATATCCTGGATATGAAGCTTCTGAACTACTTGTAGATTAATGTTATGATAATTCTTGCGATTAATATAAGTATTCATCACCATAAATAAGTGGTATTTTGTTAACAACCTTTCTTTTGCTTCTATTATACTAACAGGAGTACGGAGAAATTTTATCTACCGCTCACATTTATCTGTTAACTTATCAGTAACTTCCGTCACAATTTTTGACACCGAAGTTTGATAGACACTAATATCTTCTTCGTTTCCTGTTTGAAAACCTGGGTCGCCTACGTATCTCAATAATATTTTCATTTTGTCAACGTTACATATACCGGATTTTATTTTTCTATATTTTCAGATTCTATACCATAAAAGTGGCAATTCTTTAAGGTCATGGTCACATATACTTCTTCTATATTTGTAACAGTTTTTGAAATGTAAAAAAATGATAAACTCAGCCATATGCTTTCAAAGTCTGCTGAAAACTATTTTATTTACATGAAATATAAATTGATTTTTTTGTGGGTTTGTTGGAATTAAATATAGTTTGGCGGAACAATTTAAGAACACTGAAAACAACTTTATTTAAATTATTAGACTATTAATAAAAGAAAAACAATCTTATAATTGCTATCAAAGGCATCGCATTGGAAGTAGTCACGTTGCTGCCAACAACAGCTGGTATAATGAGACTCTCGAAATGGAGTTTTAATTGATTTCTTAATGACTTTCTATTGAAACTTTACGCGTTGAGGTGAAAAACATAAAGCGGAAAGATCTTAAATGAAAAACAAGGATTATCAAATGACAAAAGTAGCGGCAACATTATAGTTTTCTCCGTAAATCTGCCAACAGGTAAGTTAAAAGC